ATTGGGGAATTAGGAATTGGGGAATTAGGGATTGGAGAATTAAGGATTGGGGAATTGGATATTGGGGAATTAGAGATTGGGGAATTAAGGATTAGGAAATTAGGAATTGGGGAATTAGGGATTGAGGAAATAGAGATTGGGGAATTAGGAATTGGGGAATTAGGAATTGGGGAATTAGGAATTGGGGAATTAGGAATTGGGGAATTAGGAATTGGGGAATTAGGAATTGGGGAATTAGGAATTGGGGAATTAGGAATTGGGGAATTAGGGATTGGAGAATTAAGGATTGGGGAATTGGATATTGGGGAATTAGGAATTGGGGAATTAAGGATTGGGGAATTAGGAATGAGGGAATTAGAAATCAGGGAATTTGGGATTAGAGAGTTTTAAATTTGGTAATTTAGGAATTGAGAAATTAGGAATTTGGGAAGCTAGAAATTTGCATATTTAAAAATTGAAGACTTAGGGATGTAAAAAGTTACAAAAGTAATTTAGGAATTCATGAATTAGGAATTTAAAGAGCAACTAATTTAGAAATTTATAAATCAGGAAATTAAGAATTTGGAAAGCTAGAAATTTGAAAATTCAAAATCCCAACTATATAAAATTAAAAAATTCAGAATTTAAGCACTGAATTGTGTGAAAATGTATAAAGTTAGCCTTTCAAAAATTTTCTAGTTTTAAACTTTCTCAATTTCCAAACTTTCATTACGTTATATTCAATATCCATTGTCCTCGATGCTTCCAGGAAATTATAAGTAGGTCATATATAAAGAGCTTTTACCTCTCCATCCTAGAATTATACAAAAACTGTCACATCCCATAAAAGAATACCTAACTACGTTAAATACTAATTCCATAGAAATATTCATCCAAGACAAAAGTTTGCACAATGTTACTACAGTCGCGATAAACCCCTTTTCTCCCTCGATTCTCTTAGTTCACGATAGAATTTTACGATTCAGGTAACATCCAAGAAGGCCGATAAATCTGAACAATGCGATGACGGGATTGGATGAAATTTGAGAAACTTATAAATCTATAGACGTGATTCAGTTTCATAGATTTGTCGTTCAGTGCTTCGACAAAATGGAGTGGTCAGCTGGATATTAGAAAATAGATTTCATAGGTACATGCTTCAGTTTATTGGTGAAACGTCTTACTTTATGCTCACCTGTAACGATTCTCATTTTTCATGGGTCGTGTACAGACAAACAGCCGTGAAAGGTATCTTCAAAATGGCGTAGGTATCTTCAAAATGGCGCATGTATCTTCAAAATGGCGTACTTGACTTTCGACGCGTAATTCACTCTGGTTAGAGGAAAAGTAGGGTGAAGAGTTATTTAGAAATTATTAAAATTGTTTGTAGAAATTGTTATAGTTTTATTATGATTTTTGGTTGAAGCTTTTAGTTGGTTTAATTAAATTAAATTATGGTTAGTTTCAGTTATTGTTATTTGGTATTTGTGGAACTATGAATATAATGTTAGTATAAATGCTCTTTATGTAACTTTAGTATAATTTATAATATTTTTATAATTTCTATTAGTTATTACATTCATTATAACTTTATTACAATTTCTTTATTTTTAAGAAATATAAATATATGAAGTATGATACGTATAAAATATAACAACTGTATAAATATCAATAGTTTAATTATTTCAAATAAAAATATTTACTAGTAGATTGTTTATAAAACTCTTTAACAAAAATTGTTAATATTCCTAAAATTAATGTTTCATAATATAATAAATTTTTTTTATAAAAATCCTTATTATTCTACAGCATATTTTCTGCAAAATATTACATGTGTTAATGCTTATTAACTTTGCATTATTTATTAAATAAATATGAATTTATTACATTTGTTTATTAAATTTTGTATTTTATAAAAATTTAATGTAAAGTATTTTTATAACAACCTACTATTAATTGAAGTATATTAATAATTAATAAATTGAATTGAATTTTATTAAATATATATTTAATATACTTTAACATTACTATTATACATATACATATAATACTAATTATACCATACTTTTGCATTTTTTACCTTGATATTTACAAAGTTTTTTTTAACCTTGATACTTATAAAGTTTTTTCTGTCTTAATATTTATAGTTTTTTCTACCCCACTATTTATGAACTTTCTTCTATCTTCTAATACACAACTGGGATTGCTATCAACCCCACACGTTCCTCGTTCGTACAATGGTTTCTATCAGCAGTAAAAAGGTCTGGTTACAGCATGGATTTCTTCGTCTTTTAATAAGAGGAAGAATGGTGGGCGGGAAATTCAATTTTATTGAAGTTCAGTTAATGAAAAACCCATTTGAAAGGTGAACATTAACAAAACCCAGCAAAAAACTCGTTTCCTCCAGTTCCATTCTCCAGGAACAATTTTTAAATCTAAAAATTTTAAACAGTATTTATTAAAGTAATGCAAATGTTACCATTGTTATATTCTAATTAATGTAAAACCAGATTTTTAAAAAAGCATTTTAATTAGCTATGAAATTTAAAGAAGAAATTTTTCGAATAGGTCAAATGTTACTTTTGGTAATTTTAGTGTTTATGATGTTTATTATTTAAGAAATTAATAATTAATAATATTTATACTTTAACAAATTAATAGTTAATCATGTTCTTAAAATAATTTAAGAAATTAATAATTAATAATATTTATACCTTAACAAATTAATAGTTAAAGATGTTCTTAAAGTAATTTAAGAAATTAATAATTAATATTATTTATACTTTAACAAATTAATAGTTAATCATGTTCTTAAACTAATTTAAGAAATTAATAATTAATAATATTTATACTTTAAAAAATTAATAGTTAAAGATGTTATTAATTAATAATTAATAATGTTTATAACTTAACAAATTAATGCTTAATATTATTCTTACAAAAATTTATGAAAGTAATAATAAATAATGTTCATAACTTAAAAAATTACTAGCTAATAATATTCTTAAAACAATTTAAAAAATTAATAATTAATAACACTCATAACTCAACAAACCAAATATACAAAAGTAAACATAAACAAATAATATTAAAAATGAAAAATAAATATAGAAAATCACTCCAAAATTTGACAAATGTTTTGAAAAGTAACTGAGCTACTTTATCGTATGTTTTGAAAATATTTGAAAAGGATTTTCGAGCTCTGATAAAGGTTTGTTAGCAGCTCAACTCATCTGTGGACGATGGATATTAATAAAGGCGAATAACTCTCTGAGTGGCTCTAGTGAATTCTAGTGGCATTGGCTCGTGTTCTTATACGGAAAAGAGCTGACGTGTTTTGAGGCTGATTTATTACCACGATGCAACGTGATCACTGACTGGAAAATTTACGACGAGGTCTGTTTAATGTGAAACCTCGTCTTGACGATGGACAACCGAAAATCAGGGAGCGTGAAGAATTTTAATGAAACGGAATGTATATAGTAAATGTTTGATAACAATGTGATATAAGTTTGAACGGTTTATTGAGATAATGTGGGAGTGGCAGGAATTCTGTGTTAGGGGATGTTGGTTTTCATGAAGATAAATTTTTAAATTTTCAGACAGGTATATTCGAGGTTTCTAAATTTTCAAATTTTCAAGTTTTCAAGTTTTCAAGTTTTCAAGTTTTCAAGTTTTCAAGTTTTCAAGTTTTCACGTTTTCAAGTTTTCAAATTATCAAATTTTCAAACTCTCAAATTTCCAAACTCTCAAATTTCCAAATTCTCAAATTTCCAAATTCTCAAATTTCCAAAATCTCAAATTTCCAAAATCTCAAATTTCCAAAATCTCAAATTTCCAATTTCTCAAATTTCCAATTCTTCAAATTTCCAATTCTTCAAATTTCCAAATTCTCAAATTTCCAATTTCTCAAATTTCCAAATTCTCAAATTTCCAATCTCCCAAATTTCCACATTCCCAAAATCCCAAATCTCCAAATCCCCAAATTCCCATTTTCCCCCATTTCCCCAATTACCCTAATGACCCTAATTTCCCTAATTTCCCCAATATCCCCAATTCCCAAATTCCCAAATTCCCAAATCCTCAAATTCCAAAATTTCCAAATTCTTAATTATTTCACGAGTCAGAATTGTTTCTATATGTTTGTATTTTATGTCTGTTACAGATACATGGCCATAATGAACCCTTTGAGGCCACACATGGGAAGAAGAGCTACGTTATGCGTAGCAATCGTCATATGGATCGTAGGAGCCATTTTGTCGTTACCAATGTTGTTATTTTACACAACCTACACACAAAACTTCGCTAGCGGCGAAATTCGGGTAATCTGTTACGGTGATTTTCCCAACAGGGACAACAATGGGCTTAGTTACGACGAATACCTGTGAGTTTTATTTGAATATCAAAATACAAATTTTGTATTGGGTGATTTTAAGCTGGTTGAAATATTTCGTGTATCGTCACAGTGAAAAAAGTCATACACATATTTGCATATATGTAGAATGACAATGTGTAATTTAACGTTACAGATAACGCAAGTTTTGAAATTCTTTTATTACTGTTTGAAAGATACATTTTTAATTCCTCAAGTCCCAAATTATATAAATAACTAAAGTAGTTAGACAAGTTAGCATTGTAACTTTTTTATTGCAATGTACATGTATGAAATGTATGAACGTTTCCAAATGCCTACGTCACCAAATCACCATGTCCTCAAATTCCCAAATCTTCAATTCCCTACATTCCCAAATTCCTACATTCCCAAGTCCCCACGTAGCCAAATCCCCACGTCCCTAAATCCTCACGTCACCATATCCCCACGTCACCAAATCCGAAAATCTTCAATTCCCTACATTCCCAAGTCCCCACGTATCCAAATCCCCACGTTCCTAAATCCTCACGTCACCAAATCCCAAACTCTTCAATTCCCTACATTCCCCAACCCGCACGTTCCCAAATTCCCACATCTCGAAATCCCCACGTCCCCAAATCGCCACATCCCCAAATCTCCACATCCTCAAATCACCACATCCCTAAAATCCTCACGGCCCCAAATCCCCACGTCCCCAAATCCTCACGTCCCCAAATCACCACATCCCTAAAATTCCCACGTCTCCAAATCCCCACGTCCCCAAATCCCCACGTCCCCAAATCTCCACATCCAGAAATCACCACATCCCCAAACTTTGCGTTCTCAAATCTCCACATTCCAAAATCCCCACGTCCCCAAAATCCTCCCGTCTCCAAATCTTCACATCCAGAAATCACCACATCCCCAAAATTTGCGTCTTCAAATCTCCGCATTCCAAAATCCTCACGTTCCCAAATTCTCACATCACCAATTCCCTACATCCCCAAATCCCCACATCCCTAATTCCCTACATCCCCAAACCCCTAAGTTCCCAACTCCTCAAATCCCTACTCAATGAACCACAAAACTTGTTAAAAACCCAAACATCCAAAACTCTAAATCTCCCCAAACTCTCAATTCCCAAATTTCCAATTCCCAACCTCCAACTACAACCCCCAACCTCCTAACTTCTCAAACCTCTTTCCAAAACCCCTTTCTCCCAACTCGTTATCATCCACCAAACATCAAATTCCCAAATACCAAATATCAGTCCGGTTACACCCCGAATCTAACTCTAATACTCGATCAGTATCGATAGCAGCAAACAAACACCCGTACCAAAGCTCCCTGGTCAAACTGTTGACATATTCCTTGGCAAACAGAAGACTCATTCAAAGCGATCCTCGTTCACGAACAAATATCAAAATAGTCCGCGACGGTAGCCCGTTAAAAGGCAAGCTGAATTATCGAGCGTGATCAACTAGCCAAGAAAATTACTCGAAAATCTCGTTTAAAGAGGAAAGCATAAAAGCGAATCCTTGTACATGTCAGCAACAGATATTATCTCTATTTACGATGCATAAACGACCGCGGCTGTCGGTCACTGTGTCCACCATAAAACGCATCGTCTGCCAACGGCATAAGACTTTCATCGCGTTCAACTGAAATTCTCGTTATTACCATGAACTGCATAATTGAAAAACTGATTTACTTCTACGTATACCGGGTGGTTTATGTAATCTCTTGTGTACAAAGGAGAGGGGTTTGTTAGATGATGTCAACGTTAAAGATATTTATGATATGGGGGATTTAGGGAATTGCAAATTTGGAAATTTAAGGGTTACTAATTTAGAAGTTTAGAAAATTGGAGAATTAGGAATTTGGGAAGCTACAAATTTGGAAACTTAGAAATTGGTGAATTGAATATTTGGGGAATTAGATATTTTGGACTTTGAGAAATTAGGGATTTAGGGAATTGCAAATTTGGAAATTTAGAGAGTTACTAATTTGAAGTTTAGAAAATTGGAGAATTAGGAATTTGGGAAGCTACAAATTTCGTAAATTAGGAATTGGTGGAATTGAATATTTGGACTTTGAGAAATTGGGGATTTAGGGAATTGCAAATTTGGAAATTTAGAGAGTTACTAATTTGAAGTTTAGAAAATTGGAGAATTAGGAATTTGGGAAGCTACAAATTTCGTAAATTAGGAATTGGTGGAATTGAATATTTGGACTTTGAGAAATTAGCGATTTAGGGAATTGCAAATTTGGGAATTCAGAGAGTTACTAATTTAGAATCTTAGAAATTGAAGAATTAGAAATTTAGGAAGCTACAACATTTGGAAACTTAGAAATTTCTGAATTGAAATTTTGGGGAATTAGAAATTTTAACCTCGAGGAATTAGTAATTTGGGGAGTTGCAAATTTGGAAATTTAAGGAGTTACAAATTTGGAAACCTAGAAATTGGTGAATTGAGAAAATTTGGTGAATTAGAAATTTGGATATTTTGACAATGAAGAATTAGAGAGAGTTGCAAATTTTGAGTTTTTAAAGAGTCATAAATATGGGGGGGG